AAAACCCAGAAAAGGAAGAAAGCAGTGAGACATCTTTGTGCCTTGCTCTCCAGCAGAACTGCTCAGCTCCCTGCCCTCTGTCCTTTGAAGCTGCTGGGAATGTGGAAATCAAGGATAAGTTGGCTCAGGCAGCAGCTGCTCCATCCACCCCCATCCCTCCGGAACTCCCCAGGCAAGGCGTCGGCTCCGCGCGGCTGCCGGGGCAGTGCTCGGACAGCGAGGACTTCCTGGTCGAGTACAGTGACATTGTCATAGGACAAACACCTATTTTCAGTGAGAATCGTTCTCCAAGGGCTTTTGAGACAGAGCCAAGAGCCAGTGTGAGCGAGGAATGTGCCTTGGCTGCAGAGCCCCGGGGGGCTGAGCTGGGGCCTGTGCCACTGTCCCCAGGAGCCAGCGGCCCCCCAGCCTTTGCCATGTTTGCTGACAGCCCCTGTGACAGCTCAGCCCACGTGGAGTTCAGAGCTTCACAGCTGCCCCAAGAATCCATTGAAGCAGAAATCAAGGATGCCATGAACTGCATAGACCCAGACCCTGCCGATGGACCCGCTGAGCTGAAGTCTCTGCCCTACACGGACTTTGCCTCTGCCCAGACTGTCCCCAGGGAGGAGGAGGTTTGTGATCTGTCCTTAACTTTCACAAAACTACAGATCAAGGACACTCAGGAAGATCTGATGTATCCAGTGGAGGAAACTGGCCAACCTGCAGCAGCAGCATGTGCAAGTGCCAGTGACAGGCACAGAAGAGAATTTAATCACTCCAAAATCAAACACACATATCTGGCTGATGCTGAGCCATCCTCAGACCTGTGCTGTACTGCTGGGAACACGGAGCATTCCACCACTGGTTCTGATGGCAAGAGACTGTTCATGGATACTGGTAACACACACAGAGCCTCTGAGGGCTTCAGGCACATCAGAGAGCCCCCCAACCTCACCTACATCCCACCACAGAGTATTGATGTTCGGCCTTCACAGCCAAGAAGGACCAGCACACAGGACAGAAGGACCCTCCTGCAGCCTGAACCTGACCCTCCTGAATCCAGTGAAGTAACTCTGGAGAACTGGAATTCAGAACTGAGTGAAAACCAGGAGCCTTATGTCATTATTGACAGGACTGACCAAGGAATGTTATGCCATCACATTTGAGTCTACCAGTGCTTTATCTCTAATCTGCCTGGGGGTTTTGCCTCTCACTTGTGGCCTTGATCATCTTTTCAAGGAGATGATTAGTTTTGTCAAAACATTTAAAAAGAAAACAAACCACATTACTGCTTTTGGACAGTAAAAAACAGGAGTAGTTTGTTAGCTCACTGCATTCCTTGGAAGCTGTTCTGAGCTCATCTTCCTCCTGCCTTCAGCTGAGAACAAGTTTAGAAAGTTTGACAACGTTCCTCTAGGTTTGAGAAACAGCCCTGTGAACACTCTTGGTTTTGGAGAGGCAATAACCTGTATTACAGGTTTTATACCTCCCTTCATTTATAACCAGAATATTTTGTGGTTACTACCACAGTTTTCAAGAGAAGCTTTGAGCATCATAACTGTTCACTGCCACCAGGAGAGAGATCCAGCTACTGCTGCCATTTCCCTTGTCCCTGCTCCTGCCACTTCATTCTGCACCAGGATTCACGGAATTTTTCTGTAAACCAGTTCATTTTATTCATTTTATTTCATCATAAAATTAAGGAGGAAAAACTGCCATTCTGTGCCATTTTAGTGTCAAGGAAATGTCAGCAGAGAAGGTTGCAGTGAGCACCAGAGCCAGGATGAGGGACTCTCTGGAAGCAGCAGTGCCGTGTGCTGAGAAGGAAGGGGAGCAGGAGTGTTGGATCAGCTGTGAGCTGAGTCACACCAGGGAGAGCCTCTGTCATACACAACATTTAATTCATTTAGAAAATGAATTAAATGTTGTACCTAGTCACTGGTACTGTACTTAAGCAGAGTCTTCAGTGCTTCTTTATACACTTGTTACCCAGAAGGACACTTTAATACTGCATTGAGTAGCTTTTCCAGCAGCACTTCAATGTGTGCTGGTTTTGGCTGGGGTGGAGTTAATTTTCTTCACAGTGGCTAATATGGGGCTCTGCTTTGGATGCTAAAAGTGCTTTGTTGTTTCATGTATAGTTTAAACAGTAGCTGAAATTAATTTTGTATAAATAGCTTATAATTGATGTTCAGCCCTCAAAAAATTCAAAGAGGAGCACATGGATTACACTAGAAAAAGCTCAGGAGCTAAAATGTAAAGATCTGCTTTTTGAAGCACTAATTGCTGAAGTTCTGCCATCCCCTGGTTCCAGCAGTGTGGGGGGAACAGAACTTTGCCCAAGCTCACACCAAGGGCTGCCTTCAGCTTTGGGTGAGGTTGTGAGAAACAGTTATTATGGACAAAAAATGTTCACAGGGCTCTTTCCTGACAAATCACAGTGACATCCTCTGGGCTGTAGGATTCTCTGTACCAAACCATCAAGTGAGATTTTCTGGACTGTACAAAACATGCATCCTGGGCTTCTACAACCCATAATGAAATCAGAATTTAGAACAAACTGCTGATGACTGAACTTCAAATTTATAGAACCACTTCCAAAGAAACAGTTCTTTTGGACTCTTTTACAGAATAAAAAGGTTTGAAAGTTTAACAGAAGGTTTTAAGAATAATCACTATCCCCCTACAAATAAGCTTCAATAAGAAAGATATTTAATTAGCACACAAAATCTTATTTTTAAGCTAGAATTCTAAAGATTTACAACAGATCCATAGCATGGCATTACTGGGATCACTGGGATCCTTAGTACTAACTCAGTACTAAACCAGGAAATGCTCAGTGCACTCATCATTAATAAGTCATAGTGATTTGGGGAAAAAATAGCCCATCAAATGGGACTAACGAGACATGAACTGCAGTTCCTGACTTGGTGCAGTCCCTTCAATGCAAGGTTTTTAGTCATACCACAAAACTGCAGAAGAAAGGCAGTGATCTCCAAGAGCAATACCATCAGAGGGTGTTGAAAGGCCACGTCACCCAATCTTTGTGTCCTCCAAGTGCCAGACAAATGTCTGCAATCCGTGATCAAAGTGCTCACTGATGCCTTCCTTGCTCCAGCTAAACCAACCAAAACCATTAGGGAAAATATATGTATATTGTACTTCAGGGATCATTCCCCTAAAATTACACAGAAAAAGTAAGGTGAACACAGTCCAAACTGCCTTGAAAGGATTACCTTGAAGAGAACATTCAGAGGGTAGAGCACCAGAGAAGGGCAACTCAACACTTGAGCTGATGTCCTGAATGAAACCCCCACTAGTTCACTCTCCAAGTACCTGCAGGTCATAATAAACTGATCACAATCTAAACTCAAAGAACCATCTGTGTTTTTCCTTGTAAAAAGAAGTAAAATCAGAGAATCTGAAGCAGTTAAGAAATCAATTAGTTCTAGGATTTTTATAACCATTTGAAAGGAACAACAAATGCCTTTCTGTGCACTCTGTTTTGTCACATGTCCTCAGCCATAGCAGGGCTGGGGATCTCATCAACACTGGAGAGAAATAAGCCCTCTACAGAAACCTGGCTGTGATACAGCCTGAAAGCCATTCTGCAATCACTTACAAATCTGTGGTTTGGGTTTGTCTTTTTTCACCACTGAATTCAGTGGAACTGCTACAGAACTGCAGCTACATTGTGGTGTCCTGTAGAGCAGAAGGAACGTGCTGAATTCAGTGGAACTGCACTAGTGTAGGGTTAGAGTAAGACCCAAGATTTCAAACTGGTAAGACCTATTTAACAAAGCTGCTTCACTTGATGCACTTCATTTGCTTCCTCTAATAATAAAGAACATCCCACCTCTTCCATTCCTTGAACACCTCCAGGGATGGGGACTTCACCACCTCCCTGGGCAGCCTGTTCCAACATCTAATCACGCTTTCTGTGAACAGAATCTTCCTGTTGTCCAGCCTAAACCTCCCTGGTGCAGCTGAAGATTGTCCTCTTGTCCAGGCACTTGTTCCCTGGGAGCAGAGCCCAACCCCCACCTCACTGCAGGCTCCTTTCAGGTTGTAGAGTGAGAAGGTCCCCCCTGAGCCTCCTTTTCTCCAGGCTGAGCATCCCCAGCTCCCTCAGCCCCTCCTGGTGCTCCACACCCTTCCCCAGCTCCGTTCCCTTCCCTGGACATGCTCCAGCCCCTCGGTGTTGTTCCTGCAGTGAGGGGCCCAAAGCTGGACACGGCCCTCGAGGGGCCTCAGCAGGGCCAGCACAGGGGAATGGGGGCTGTCCTGCTCCTGCTGCCACACTATTCCTGATCCAGGCCAGGTGCCCTTGACCTTCCTGCCCCCTGGGCACACCTGGCTCATGTCCAGCCCTGTCACCAGCACCCTCAGGGCCCTTCCCACTGGGCACTTTCCTGCCCCTCTGCCCAGCTTGGACCTGCAGGGGGTTGTTGTGGCCAAAGTGCAGGACCTGGCACTTGGCCTCTTTGACCCCACACCCAAATTTGCTAAGGGTGCACTCAGTCCCCTCATCAATAAAGATAGGAGTGGGCCCAGCACTGATCCCTGGGGACACCACTGGTGACCAGATCCCAACTGGATGCAGCTTCGTTCCCACCACTCTCTGGCCTGGCCATCAGCCAGTTCCTGACCCAGCACAGAGTGCCCCTGGCCGAGCCTTTTCCAGAGTGTCCCATGGGAGATGGTGTCCCAGGCTGTGCTGAAGGCCAGGCAGACACATCCACAGCCTTCCCCTCCTCCACCAGCTGGGTCACCTGGTCAGAAAAGGCTGGTCAGGCAGGACCTGCCCCTCCTAATCCTGTGCTGGCTGGGCCTGATCCCTGGCTGTCCCGAGTGTGCCCTGTGAGCACACCCAAAGGATCTGCTCCACACCCTTGCTGGGCACTGGGGTTGGGCTGACTGTAATAAACACACCTCCCTCATACACCCCCCAGTCACTGGGGGGCCTTTCACCCCAGTTCACCACGAGGGGGTTACCAACAGCAGCCTCAGTTCTCTGCTTCAGAGGCAGGTAGTAACAAATCATTTATTTTAAATTACAAAACCAGGGTTGTCTTTAGGGAAAAATAAAGAAGAAACTTAGGTTACTCTAGGAAGCAGCAGTGAAGTGGGAAATAGGGGAAACAGCCATATTTTAGCTGAAGAGATCTGACACAGTGAAGTTGATGGAGAACCCAAAAACACAAAAAGGGATTGGTTTATATTCTGTTCCTGACTTGAACCTGAACATTTCATAGCCATAAGTCCACAACATTCTACAAAGCATAGTGCAAAACCAAAACTAGTTATATTTAAATATTAAAAATACCAAATCAGACTTCATAAACAGTATTTGGTACAACAATCACAGGCTCCTATAAATGGTATTGTCTATTGGATGGGTTTAGTATTTGGTCCCGTTTTTCTTCATACGTTTCTATCATTTTCTGCATGTCATGGTCAGCTCCAATAACCTTGAAAAGAAGAACATGAACATTAGAAATAACTGACACCATAAAACATGGGGGGGTTGAGCAAAACAGAAGAGGACTAGCACTGAATCCAAACCAAGACACTCCTGGGGTCTGTCCAAATCACTTTCCATTTGAAATTTGGCATTCCCTGAAAAGTTACATGGCTGATCCTGCAACCAATCACAGTGAACAGACCCTCAAATTCCACAAAGAGATGGAAAACCACACTTCCATGCTATACACTACACATGTCTGTAAACAGTTTTCTGAGGCTCTCATTCTCCAAGGTTACCAGAAAAGCAGATTTATTTACTTTTACCACTAAATAATGCTCTTATTATTTGAAAAGTACAATCCTCCACATGCCTAACTGGTTATAATTAAGGTAATACTCACAAGCACTGGGCAGGAAACTTCAAACAGTGCACGTTTAATGAGCCACTCTTCATAGAGCTCATGAATAGCTTCTAAATATTCCTAGAAAAGAGGCAGTGGAATAACACATATGCCCAGGGATGAAACACACACTGCAATTTATCCATTTGGTAAGCAGTTAACAAACACAGGGAAAAGCCAGCATTGGATATTTCCACTAACAAAACACACAAAGCATACAAAGGTTTCACGAAAAATTAATTCCCAGTACAAGGTTTTACTCCATGAAGAACCTCAAAGACACAGTTTACAGGAGCACAGGGCTCTCAGCTCCTTTTAAGATCAAGCAACTCTGATTCTCTCCCACAGGTATCATGTGGTTCAAGATTTTACAGAGGAGAACCCAAGAAAGAGAAGTAAGCACACAAAGGGCAAGGCTGCAAAGAATATGTACTGGAGGCACTTTGTGTGTCAACATATGTTCCTAAAATTCCCAGTTCCCTTTCTCCTGACTCACTCAACTTCCTCTAAAAGCTTTCTGCCTGTCATCAACTATTGGGTGTTTTTTTCTTGGAGACCACATTGTTCATTCCAGACTGCTCCCTCAGCCCTCAGCAGAGCTGTGAAACAACACAAGGACTCTCCGAATCCATCACAACAAGGATTTACTCTCAAGGCAAAATTTCACATGGCCCAAAATGGAGCTCTTTGCCACTGACAGTTGCTTCTCCTGGACTGCCCAGCACTGGAGGTACAGCAGACAGGCTGTGTGTGCAGAGGGAACCCCACTTGTGTCTGGTCAGGCTTTCTTTAGTTAATTCATTCACCAAACTGGCACTGAAAGGGATCCTTCCATTACCACAGTTAATTTTAAAGCACATTCCCACACTTAAAATTTTCCAGAAGTTGCTTCTTTTCAGACACAAGCAGAGACACTTTTCCTGCATAAACATCCTGGTAACAGCACACAACAAAGTGCCCACAGAAATCTCCAGCACCTGCATACCCAGGTATTTGTGCTTCAACTGGGTGCTTTTATGCCATTTAATGGTACAAAAGCAATTGACTTTTTACATCTTAGAGAAGATTAACAGTTGATTAATACTCCACCTAAAGTCAGCTATAGTACAGTGATTACTAAAACATAACACTTGGGACAGTCAGTATGCATGACAGATCATTTTTTAAAAATAAATCAAAATTAAATACTCAGGTTCTAGTTTGCAGTGGAAACAGCCGCACCACATTTTGGCAGTACACTCAGGACACCGTTTTAGTATTTACATTGGAATCATTATGTTTTTAAGTCTCCTTGTAACCACATACATTGGAGGAACTCCTTACCAGAGGAATGATCTTTTCTTCTTCTCTGCATCGTGTTTTTAACCTCTCATAACAAACTTTAGGAGATGTCTGCAGATAAACTGTTATAACAAAAATTAGAACAGTTATGATCAAGGATCAGCTTTAAAAGCAAAGAAGAACTACAGAAGGAAAGAATCCTGACTTGGATACCACCAGTGAGCCCCCCTTTGGCACTACCATTAATCCATCCACGAACCACCCACAAATCCAAGCTGTCTGATGCTACATGTTACAACCACCATTACACTGAATAATGTGATTATTTATTACCCAACAAACAAGAACTATTTTTACTCCCAGTAAAGAAACCCACCCAGAAACACACCCCTCCAGATCCCATGGAAATTTTACCTATTAAATCCACTGAAACATCGATGTTGTTCTTGATCCAGTCAAACCATTCACTTAGCACAGCATAATCCACCTCTGGCATTTTTCCACTGATCAAACAGAAGAGCCATCACTCACTGAACAGCATGCAGAGATCAATTCTAAACTCTGGTTTTTCTCACCAAACTAGGATTGCTCCCCATTTACTCCAGCATATATGAAATGAAGACAACACCAGTGTTATTCCCACCCAAACTGAAGGCCACATAAACCATTGTCTATACAAGAGAAAGATCAAATATTTTTCTTTCAAGTGCTTATTAAAACAAACTTTCTATTATTAACAGTTACAAACATTAATTTTTTTCCACTACAGTTAAGAAATAATTACTTGGTGACAAGGAAGAAAATATTACCACAGTGACATTCACACAGTAACAGCAAATTAGTGTCAGTGGTTATTTATTGCTCAGGTTCTTTGGATCAGGATCATTTCAAATCTGTCTGCAGTGCATGTCACCAGAAGGGCTGGGTTTACTCAGCAGCACTGACAATTCCTTACAGAAGCCACAGTAAAGAGCAGTGAAAAAATAATGACACTGTAAACAATCCCACTGTAAGAAATATTTGTGGAAAGAGTAGTGAAATATTCAACATGCTTAATTGGAGCTCTGTACTCAGAGAGCACAAATATAGACAACAGTCCCAACTATCTCACCAAGAATAATAAAATATCAGACAGGGAGTTACAGAGAATATGTTAAGAATCACATTAGTATTTTATAATAAAAACATTCTGGTTTTATTAGTCTCAGATTTTCACTTATTATCATATTCTTAGTAGTCAAATATTACTAGTTTTACATTATCCTGTCTTCAAAACTGGTGACAGTAACACATACTCCACACTCCTTCCTAAATGCCTCTGCAATAAAAATATAAAAAGAGATGGAGTTGGAAGGCTCCTGTCCTCTGCAGCTGAGTGATTCACACCAGTTACAACATTTTAAATAGTGAAGAACAAGATTCCACAGATTTCTAAGCCCTTCTCCTGGCAACGTGCTTTGATCACTGGCAAAACTGAGGAGAGATAATACAGGAAGGTATTTCCCTTTATGTTTGTAAGAAAGCAAACCCCATATTTGTACCCCCTCAATTCTTTATCTGCCATCCAGCTGAATGTCCCACCTCCTAAAATGGGATTTCCCACTTTCTAAAATGGGATATCCCCCGAGAAATGTGATAACAAGTCATTGTTATTCCTCTGATATACCAATCTGATACATTCCTGGGTAGCAGGGACCTACGTAAGCCAAATACTGATCCTGCTACTTTTCTCCAGGATAGATGGGGAAAACTGAAGGTCAAAAGGAATTGGAAATAAGAAAAAGCACCACTATTCTTACCCTAAAAGATGGTAACATCCAAGTCAATTCTGCACTGACCTGCCCTACAGAAAACCTGCCTTTGCTTCCCTTTGTCATGGAGTACCCTGGATAATCGTGTGCGGATTCTGGATCAGGCTCAAGATCCATAAAGATACAGAGAATGTATAAGGCACAAAAGGGTGTTCTCATTTCTGAGGTTTGCTGACATTTGACTCCTGCCAAGCCAAGTTTTCACTGCAGAAGTTGAACATGAACAGACCAAGCTCTGTATTATAACTAACTACGAATTCCAAGGGGCCAGAGGGAATTGGTGGTGCTCACACCCTGCAGCACAGCCTGCACACTCCTGGGCACACATTTAGATTTCTCCTGGTTTTACACCCGACATGAGTGTGCCTTTCATGCCAGACTCAAGACACAACTGCACTCAGACTGCAATCCCAGACCTTGGACACTCGTGCCTCTCTCCACCTGCCACGGGCACTCCCAGCAGCTGCTCACAATTGAAGCCTTCCATCACTGTTGTAAATCTTTCTCTGGTTCTCTCTGGGACAAAGCCTACAGAGCCAAAATTGAGTGACTGGATCAAAGAACTGATATCCCTGATGTTCCCACAGCTCTTCATCCCTTGCTTCAACTGACCACTCTCCTAAAGGAGCAGAGTTTGTGCAGACATGAGAGAACAGCAACAGGGGGGACCTCCTCAGCCTCACAGCCCCCTGACAGGAGGGGGGAGCTGGGGGGGTCAGGTTCTGCTCCCAGGGAACAAGGGACAGGACCAGAGGAAACGGCCTCAGGCTGTGCCAGGGGAGGATCAGGTTGGAGAGTAGGAAAAATTCCTTCATGGAAAGGGTTGTCCAGCCCTGGCACAGCTGCCCAGGGCAGTGGTGGAGTCCCCATCCCTGGGGGGATTTAAAATCCATGTGGATGTAGCACCTGGGGACATGAGTTAGTGGTGGCCTTGGCAGTGCTGGGGAACACTTGGACTTGATGATGTTAAAAGTCTCTGCCAACCTAAACAATTCCATGATTCTTCTCCCTCTTCAGGACTGGGACCCTAAGCAGTACCTTCTCTTACAGAAAAGAAAGCACAAAATAACCTCTGCTCTGCACTTTGCTTTTGGCCACTACCAGTGACAGGGTATGAGGGAGGCCAGATTTACTTATTTTTTTAATGTGATACAAAATAGCTGTTTTCATACAGCCCCAATTATTCCTTGTTTTATTTAAAATCCTTTTACACACCCTTTTCTTCTGGCTTGTTATTGGTAGCACCAGCTGCCTTCTAGCTTGCAGCAACAAAACAAAGCAAATGCTTTTCATCCAACATTAAAGAGTGCTAAAGCCATGGAACACCTTAGATGCCCTTAAAATGTTATTAGAGAATTATGGAGTTGACACAACCAGACTTTGCCTCATAGCAACTGAGTTCTGAGTCTTTGGGACAAAAGCACTTTGTCTACAGTGAAAAAGAAAAGTCAGTAATTAAAAACAAGAAGGATATTCCAGGACACTTCCACTGGGATAAATAGTGTCTTTCTGTTTGCCTCACATCCTACTGTGTCTCTCCCCACTCCCAAAGCCATTCCTGCAGCACGGATGACACCTTGTGGCAAGAAACTGGTTCGTGCCTTGAGGCCACTGAAAAACCCACTAAAACAACAGCCTGTTCAATTAAAGGTCAGCATTCCAAACAAACCAAACCCAAAACACTCAGTGGTGGTTACTGCACTGCTTGGTTAGTTTGGGATGGGTGAGTTGGACATGGGGCAGGTAATAAGTGATTGTTCTTTCTTCACTCACAGCCTGCCAAGGTTTGCAGCCTGGTTTGATCCTGTAAATCCTGAGCCAGAGCAAGTGACTCGAGTTCCTGCTTCTCCCTCAAATTCCTGCTTGCAAGAAACACCAGTCCTGGGTGCCAGGTTGGGTAACACTACCTAGTTCCCTCCTTCCTACAGTGTTATTCTTTAAATCCTCATGGGTTTTAACCTGTTCAGCGTGTGTTTGCTTTGATTTAGCAGGATTTTTGTATTCAGCTGGAGAGCAGATAACTTCAACGGATGTTGTCCAACTAAACCCTGTGCTAAACACACAGGAGCACTGCTGAGAAAGGCTCTCCATGTCCTACAGGTTTAATTTTACCCGTGGGCAGCACATCCTGACCCAACACACTGCCACTCCAGCACAGAACTGACAGATTTCACAGGCCACTTGGATGCATATTACCAAAGAAATTAGCAGCTGATTTTATATAGATATAGATATATATACACACATATACATATGAAAATTAATTAATCCAAGGAAGTGAAGTATAAATCCATGTACCATACCTTCTGTACAAATTTTCCACAAAGATGTGTTTTGCACTGTGAATTGATCTCTCCATCATTCGGACTGGAGAAGTCTACAAAACAAAACTTGACAGTGTACATTTTTCAGCATGTTTGTTATCTTTTCAGACTCACACTGCACATTATATGAAACATATATGATTTTCAGATCTTTCTTTCAGATTTTGTGACAAACAAACTTACTGGGAGGGTGGGAACCACAAAAAAACCAAGGATTCCTGATCTTATTTATGGTCACTGCATTATTAAACAGCTACATAACTAATTTGTTATTCATACACAATTTTCAGCATTTGGTTCATTTGAATGAATTTTTTCTGCAACAGAACAGGATTTCTATTGTCTTGGAAAAACAACTCTTCAAAAATCTAATGTTTGTATGTACAGTATCACTCACAAGTGGTACTGCTGAAAAGTTTGCCCCAACACAAACCCAGAAAATAAAACTTAACAACAATCATTAAGATATAAGCATGGCATCTAAGATTAGATCTTGTAATCAGGGAATGGAAGACAGAATGGAATGTAAGAAGGCAAGAGAATAAACAAATCTTGGTAAAAATGTAGAGCATAAAAAATCAGTATAGAGAAAGAAAATATTACAAGAAAAAAAGGATGTAAACCATCTGAAAACAAAGGAGTAGAAAACGTTAGAAGCACTTGGAATAAACACAAGAAGCAAGGGCTAAATGAATTCTAACATGAGATTATTTAATGTTTGCCAAAGATCTGAAATAGCAAAATTGCAGACAAGGCACTGAGGTGAGATGAGGAAGATTCTAGCTCCTCAGGCTGGTGCCAAACCAGCAGCATCAGTCTGGGGAAGTCAAAGTTCTGAGCAGGCAGGAGGCAGATGTTTTGCCCCCAGAGCACACGTCTTTGTACCACAAAAATTCCTCCTCAGTGCAGGAACAAAGAATGAACACAAATAGATCCTAACTTTTGAATACAAGGTTAAAAGCATTTCGCACTCGTAACCATATCTAATTCTTTTTTAAATTAGAAAAGAAATGTCTCTTTACCATTGGTCTGGTGTGCTGCTCCAACATGGTCAGCTGGACGTAAGTCTGTAACGTTATCCCCCATCTGGAAGCATCCTGGTACATTAAACCCTGGGGTCAGGGATGGAAGGAAGACACAGACATTTGTCAGGTCAGAGAGCCAAACAGTGAAGGTGGTATTTCGTGAGCTCTTGCAGTACAACAGCATTGCTACAAGAAGGGCACTTACACAGCAAACACCAGGTTTGACAAGAATTAAGGGATCATTTGCTCTGCACAATGCAGGTGTAAGAATTATGGCTCTGGTCCTAAGTGGAAGGCTCACTGAAGTCAGCAGGAATTAAGTACTCTGCACATGGGACAGTCAGAACCAAGGCACAGCTCATGTGAGACAGTTCAAATATGTTTAGTAATTAAAAAAACCTATCTACTACTTTATTTTTGTGCACTGACAGACTCTCAGTACACCCAGTCCAGCCAGAAATCATATATGGTCCAGTAAGTATGTTCTGGGCCTCAGAAAAGGTGTCCTTGAACACATACAACTGTTCTTCCTACAGGATCCTCAAAGCAGGTCTCAGGTAGCTCCTCCACTCTGCTGCAATCACACACACACACACACTCACTGGTAACACTCTATCCTGCAAAGCACAGAAAAGATCTTACTCAAAATAAGACATCATTCAGTGTCTATTGGGTGAGGTGACAAGTTTTAAGGCAGCAGCACAGCTTGAGCCCACAGATCTGACCTCCTCCTTCTCTCCCTGCCCAACATCACACTTTCTCAGTGTTCCAAAACACACAGACTGCTGTGCTGATGCCAAGCACGCCCCACCCCTCTACTAACAATAAGAAAGTAAGGTATCAGTAACTCCTAGGAGGGAGAATTTACTTTTCCAGAGGACCTATGGTAGCACTGATGGTATCACACACACATTTGGCTTTGTGTGCTTTGAGGTGTGTCCACACCCCTGTGATGGCATCAAATTCCACCAGCCTGAGCACAGCTCTGTCCTCAGCCAGCAGTGAGGTTTCTGCAGGGCAGGGGATCCCCAAGCAGAACTGACATCAGGAACCAGTTCCAGCAGCCCAGCAAAGCCAGTGGCTGCTGCCTCCAAGCACACCTCGGATCCAGGGACGTCCTCGTAGGGAACAGTTCCAAGGAGCCATGGCTACCCAAAAAAAAAAACCCTCAACACCTCAACTGGGTTGAGTTTTCCTAATCTTCAGCAGTCACAGAATCATAGAATGTTAAGGAATTGGAACAGATCTTAAAGCTCATCTAGTCCCATCCCCCCTGCTGTGGGCAGGAACACCTTCCACCATCCCAGGTTGCTCCAAGCCCCGTCCAACCTGGCCTTGGACACTTGCAGGGATGGGGCAGCCACAGCTTCTCTGGGCAACCTGGGCCAGGGCCTCCCCACCCTCACAGGGAACAATTTCTTCACAATATCCCATTTTACCCTACTCTCTGTCAGTGGGAAGCCATTCCCTGTGTCCTGTCACTCCAGTTCCTGATGAACAGTCCCTCTCCAGCTTCCCTGCAGGCCCCTTCAGGCCCTGGAAGGTGCTGTGAGGTCTCCACAAAACCTTCTCCTCTCCAGGCTGAACAGCCCCAGCTCTCCCCTCCCGTCTCCACAGGGGAGATGCTCCAGTCCCTTTATCAACTTTGTAGCCTCCTCTGGACTTGCTCCAACAGTTCCATGGCCATCTTATCTTGGGACACCACAACTGTGCAGAGTGTTGCTGTCAAACAACATTAACTGACCAGATCCACCCCTCACTTTGAGGGATTCTTTGAAACAGGCATAAGTAGATTTAGAAACAACTGTCACACTCAGGGCTTACCTTTATGGGAATTTCTTTAGCTCATACCATGTAAGAAACCCCTTACCAAAACCACATTTTATAGGCAATGTTTCTATTATGTCCTAATCATAGTAAAAAACCTTTTGCTTCATGAAGCTTTATTTTTTGCTGTGTGAGATTCTGACCACAGCTTTCCCAACAGTTTTGCTGGCTGGTAAGAAGTTGTCACACATGTACTTCTAAAAGAACAGTCACTGTAATTGCAGAAATCATTTCTGTCACTTACCAGGATATTATGACCACGAACGTTCCTCCACTTCATCAAAGGTTCTTTCAAAACCTTGTTAAAAAGAACTCCATGTTAACTCCATGTTAAACACGTTTTAGATGCAAAACACTTTATGTGACTCTACAAGTCTGCAACTATTTTTAAGGATTACTCATTCAGTAAGTCAGAGTATTCACGACTTGTACTGGAAAGCTCACCCCTCTTAAAAAAACAGCACTGCATCCTGAACACAAAAAGTAATAGCAAAAACTCCAAAAATAGAAAAATATCAACAAATAACACCATCTTAGCATTTTTAAACTGCCAAAGTAAAACACCTAATGAGCCTGGATAGAATTTCTTTTTTTTTGAGTCAAAATCAGTCCCACAGAAGGGAAAGTACTGCTTAGCACAGTCCTGATTCCATTTAATGACCTGCCAATTGCCTCACAAATTCATGTCAGAGAAAGCAACACTTGGCAGAAAGAGGATCAGACTGCTATCATATTAGTTTTAATTCTGTTTTTTTGTTTTAACAAACAAAATGTATTCAAAACCTTTACAAAATTAATCAGAAAAACTTCTACCCTGAATAGGTAAAATGACAAGACTTACCTGGTTCAAACAGGGTCTAAAACTCCAACCACAAAGCCAGGCCTAAGAGAGTTAACTAGCTACTTAAAAAATGTTGCACTACATGCAAACTAAAGTCTGCTATCTTTTGGGTTAACAGTTAATTACTCCATTAGGATCATTTCTGTTAAATTACCAAATAACATCTGGCAACCCAGCATTTCCATGGGAACTCCTAAAACTTACTATCAAATGTATTGCCAGCTCTGCTGGGAAAAGCATTAATATCTGTTGTACACAAAAACAATTGTTCACTTTGTACACAGCAACAATTGTTCACTGAGGTTTGATCTTGATTTTGTTTAAAAATACAATAAGCCTGCCCTTCCTTCAATCTTGTTCTAAGCAACATGAAATCAAAAATCAGTCTACGAAATCTTCAGGAACAGTTTTAACAGATTTTCCATTTTTCAAAAAAGCCATATATTCACTAGAATCTCACGTGTGTGACATCAGTATTTTTACATCATTACATCTTCACTTTGCTTATTACAAGACACACCTAAGATTTCAGTGACATGAAATGGCAAACAGGCATGTTCAAACATGCCCAACCCCTGTGGGTTGCTGTTACTTTGCAGAGGTACAGACTGCAATCCACAGGTCTTACTGATCTTTTGGCACCTCGTACTTTATTAGTTTCTTTTCTGCAATCTGAGTATAAAAATTTGGGAGATGGGGAGGTACCTCAGCAAGCCCCTGGCTCACAACCTGCTGCTCCATTCTCTGTGCCTGAGGAGAACATTTCCAAAGTGTCAGTTCTGTCAGGACAAGCAACTGCTGAATGTTGGAAATAAAGATAAAGAACTGTACCTCAATGCTGGTAGTTTGTGCAAAATAATCCAGGCATGTTGTTTTCCCACTTGCAATGTTCCCCTCGATGCATATCTGATGAAAAACAGAGTCATTGTGAGAACAGTGTGTGTGAAAATGTACCCTTCCCATGGCACCAGGCTGGTTCCCTACACTGTGATGAGATTATTTCCCAGGAAGGATTGCTTAAACCTTAAGAGGCACTACATTTTTATTTTCAGAAACTTGAACAACTAAAATAAACTAAGAGAATTTTTTTCAGCTGTCTTAAAATAATTTATAGCTTCAAGTGATTAAGTTCCAAATAAAATAAAAAAACCATCACCTGCCAGGGAGGGATGCATAGGGCAATGGCAAGGCTGCACATGCAACACTGACCCCAAACTGTCACCTGTCCCAACACAATCCCTCACCGTTTTATCCCTCACAATTTTTGCACAAATCCCTCACAATTTTATTGGAATTTACAGAACCAGAAAACCATAGCCTTGCACTGACTATGACCCAGTGCCAGACCCAGCACCACAGTGACACAGGCACAGCCAACAGCTGCATATGCTCAAATTATAATAAAATTATAATGAAAGAGGCTGCACGTTTTACTTCATTTTCTGAACAAAATGCAAATACTTACAACTCTCTTTCTATCATCTTTCTTTATCAGAAGTTTATCTAGAATGGAAATAAACAACAGTTACAATCAAGGAGGTCTTCATAACTTAGTTATACTGAGCCTCTTAAGTGAGCCCCTCCATGAAGTTTTTAGGTTCTCTCTTGCTTAATATGCCTATTTGCTAAATTACCAACCTCAAAGGTTTTAGGTCATTATTGGGCCATGCACTAGACACATTTTGGCACAGACTGACACAGTTCTAGCTGAAGTTCACCATTGCTAACATACCGAGAGTGGAACGGTGAGTGCCCACACTCCCACCAGGTTTTTGTTGTTCCTGCTGCTCCTCGGTTGGCACTGGGGAAAAGTGAATTTCGGGAAGGCCAGTCAGGGAGTGGTCCCTGCTGGGTCCACAGGCCCGGTTACAAGGCAGGGGAAGGGTGAAGGCTCCAAGACAAGCAGTTCAGGCGCCTTACACCTCAGAACTGCGGTGTAAAACCTGTGCAAGCCGTGCTGGGCTTACGGGACCCCTCACCCCACAGAGCACGGGAAGGCGGTGATGGGGGGCAGAGGGGCCGGGCGGCTGCTCCCCACGGGCACCGGGGGCCCGAGTGCCAGGGTCTGACCCTGACCCTGCTGCCCCAGAGGGTCTGACCCTGACCCTGCTGCCCCAGAGTCTGACCCTGACCCTGCTGCCCCAGAGTCTGACCCTGACCCTGCTGCCCCAAAGGGTCTGACCCCGATCCTGCTGCCCCAGAGGGTCTGACCCCGATCCTGCTGCCCCAGAGGGTCTGACCCCGATCCTGCTGCCCCAGAGGGTCTGACCCCGATCCTGCTGCCCCAGAGGGTCTGACCCCGATCCTGCTGCCCCAAAGGGTCTGACACTGATCCTGCTGCCCCAGAGGGTCTGACACTGATCCTGCTGCCCCAAAGGGTCTGACCCCGATCCTGCTGCCCCAAAGGGTCTGACCCTGACCCTGCTGCCCCAAAGGGTCTGACCCTGACCCTGCTCCCCCAAAGCCGCTCCAGAGGTTCTAATCCGGCTCCTGTTCCCCCAGAAGGCCAAACCTCGCTCCTGCTCCCTCAGAGCCGCTCCAGCGCATCCCGGGCAGCCGCCCGTCCCTTTCCCGAGGGGTACCGGCCCTGCCCGGACAGCCCCGCACCCCCGCCCCGCACTCACGGCCGGCAGTGCCGCGGGGCCCGGGCGGGGCGCGGGGCCCGATCCCGCCCGCCGAGGGCCCGGGGGCAGCGCCGCCCGCTCCCCGGCAGCCCCGCGCCCAGGCCGCGCCCCGCCGCCACATGGCCCATCCCCGCCGGTCGGCCCGGCCTTCCGCCGCCCGGAGAGCACTTCCTCCGCCCGCGCTCTGAGGCGGGGCCGGGGGCGGCCCGGCACCTCCCCCGGCACCTCCTCCGGTACCTCCTCCGGCACCTCCCCCGGCACCTCCCCCGGCACCTCCCCCGGCACCTCCCCCGGCACCTCCCCCAGCACCTCCCCGGTCCCCGCCCCGGTCCCCAGCGGCGTCCCGCGGGTGCGGTGCCGGTGTCGCCCCGCGCAGCCCGGGCCGTGCCGCCGCCATGGCGTGTCTGGAGCTGGACCGCGCCTTCGCCCGCTCCCCGCGGGGCGCGCTGAAGATCGCCCGTGTGGTACGGCCGGGAGGGGCCGGGATCCCGGGGGTGCCCTCGGAACGGCCGGGAGGGGCCGGGATCCCGGGGGTGCCCTCGGAACGGCCGGGAGGGGCCGGGATCCCGGGGGTGCCCTCGGAACGGCCGGGAGGGGCCGGGATCCCGGGGTGCCCTCGGAACGGCCGGGAGGGGCCGGGGTCGCCGAGGGGCCGCGGGGTCCCGGCCGGCACAGCGCTGACCGCCGTCCCCTCCCGTCCCGCAGCTCCTGGCGCTGGCCACCTTCCTCTGCTTCGTGGCCTCGAATGCCCACGAGGCCTACGCAGCGCTGGCCGGGCTGGAGATGGGCATCACCCTCCTGTTCCTCCTGCTCTACCTGCTCAAGCTCGACGCAAAGATGCGGTGGCTGTTCTGGCCGCTGGCTGTGAGTACCGAGGGGCCCCGGCTGAGGGGACCTGTGTGCCCCAGCTGTGAGATGTGCCCTGGCCGTGAGTGCCGGTGAGCAGGCTGTGAGTACCCATGTGCTGTGAGTACCCATGTGCTGTGAGTACTGCTGTGCCCTGGCTGTGGGTGCTGCTGTGCAGGATGTGAGCACTGATGTGCTGTGGGTGCTGGTGCCCTGGCTGTGAGCACTGGCTGGCCTGGATCTGAAGGGGTCACCTGTCAGAAGGGTCACTGTCAGTCAACTGTTTCTATCCAGTTAAAGCAAGCCCAGTGTTCCATGGATGCTGAAGCAGGTTTTCCTCCCCGAGTGTTCTGTTCCCTCAGTTCCTGGATAGCTGGATAGATCTGGTGACAGCCCCTCCCTAACGGGCATTGGTCACTTCCCTGTGTAACCCTGTGCTCTGCATCCTGCACATCACAAATTAGACATACGCTTTCACTCAAATATTAACGAGTTCTCTTACCTCTCTTTTGCACATCTATTTCCTGCAGTCTGACAAGTGTAGCCAAGTTGCATAAATTTGACTGCAAAAAAAAAGAAAAAGGGAAAATGAGGAAGTTTTATCTCAAACGCTCCTTTTACCACCAAACCACTGGGTGTCAGTGTCGATCTCGCTCGGATATTGCTTTAACTTATTTCCATAGCAAACCAGCCGTTTTTAAAGACCCTTACGGTGTTGGGAGCTATCCACGTTCTTCTCCAGGTGTGTTCAGAATAAATATTTTGCTTCCACTGGCTGTTTCAGGATATTTTCAACTCGGTGATTGCAGCGTTGTTCCTCCTCGTTGTGTGCTTGTTTGCAGTAATAGTCAAGAGCAACAAGGGGACATTGGCTGGAGGAGTAAGTAGGAACATTGTTAATGAATTTCAGTTCTTAAAGTGCACGTGATTTGAACCTCTTGGTACAGTTACATCATGGCGGGACCATGAAAACAACTGTCTTGGAAGAACACATTCAGCAATCACAAACAAAAGTGAATACACATTCAGTGTATCTTACTAAGAATGATCCTAAAATCACTAGTAATTTAAAAATATTACAAGACTTAGGAGTTACTACAGAGAAGTTCCAACACTGAAAACTCCTAGAGTTTAACTAATTTGCGTAACTTGGATTTACTTCCACACGTTGAAGTCCTAGGTGGGAGAATCTTTTAGGACTATCCGGTTTGGTTACACTGTTTAGGAGGAAATGTCTAACTAGTTGAAAGAGTTGAAACTTTTTAGCAGACACGCTGGTACCTCCCTCCTGACATGTACGTTATGCTTGCTGACCCAGACTGAGGAATTACGCCAGTTGAAAAGGGGTTTTGTTCATACTGTGATTGTAAGACTTTTGTGTTCTTAAGATCAAACCAGTTTAATAGTTTAAGCAACTGGTATTTTTAATTCAAATGGAAACTAATGTAATTAACAAACAAGAAGGAGGGAAAGTCTTTTTTAAGTCTCCAGAAGTACAAGAGGAGCTGAAATGTGAAAAGCAACCAAAAGAAACCTAAAACCTGCCACAGGGGTTTTTCAAAATCTGATTAGGAGACGGTAAGATGGGAAGTTGATGTCTTCACTGGCAACAACATCCTAAGCAAAAAGGAGACTTCCTGGTCAAGTGACTGGCTGTGCTAGAATAGAATTTATATTCTTGGTTGGGAAGTTAATAGAAATTAAAGGTGGGAGCAGCAGACTAAGCAGGTAGCTGGGAAAACAAGTTTGGGCAGAACATATGACATCTTCAATTCTGGGAGAAACAGAATTGCCCACAGTCTGTACTCCTGGGGCACAAACTGCCTTGAGCTGGGCTCTCCTTAGCATTATTCCCTCTGATCAGATAATTTAGTGCTTGCATAAAAAACCCTGGTGTGCATGTGGGATGAGGCTGAAGGGTGGGAGCTGAGCAAATTAACTCAGTAAGGCCATTCTGCAAACACATTTTTCCAGTTGCCTGCCTGAGGTTGTCTATTTTTTTAAATACTTCTGTACATTTTCTCCAGTTTGGGATACGTTTCCCATTCAAAGCTTCAGAGGAGAGCAGTACTTTTTTTTCCTGCTAGGCTTGTTTCATAAATTTTGACTTTTCTCCCTGACTTCTCTCTGGGCCAGTTCCAGTAATTAAGCCATCCTTACAGGGACAGGAGGCCTTTCGTTTAGGATAAAAGCATTGTCTGGCATAATGCAGCATTAGCTTAGCTTTCAAGGAGAGCACCACACCAACTCCAAGGCTTCACACAAACATCAAACACAGCAGGGTGTAGACGGCTCTGTGAGAGGCTGATGGGATGTAAATATGGGTTATTTAATTTATCAGCTCTCTCAAATCACACACGTGTTTCAAAGGCAGAACCAAGTTAGGAAGATGTGTTTACTGCTGCTTTGAGGAACAGTAGCTGAGTCTGTATAGCAAAAGATAGAGACTGTTAGGGGGAACTAACATTACGGTTATTTTTGTAGGTGTTGGGTCTTATACTGCTTGTTCTCTGCGTTGTCGACACGGTTCTTCTTTGCAAGAAGATTAGCCTTGCTAGACCAAGAGGAAGGAATGCTCCTGCCAGATAAGATTGCCGTGTTAGTAAAAGGATTTCTCCATTGATGATTGTTTCACCACTCTCTTTTAAAGAATTTGTGTTTTCACGTGTTCACCTTAGAATTTCCTGTGCATTGATGTATGTTTTTGCAAGTATTGTTTATACGGTTTTCAGACATTTCCAAATGTAGTTTCAGTGGTGCAGTTAAAGCTTCATAGAAAATGGTCTTGTTTTTCTGAACTTAATTACATTTTTACCCGTATGAAAATGAACTTCATGGTTGTCTTCTTTCTGTAATAAAAAGAAAATATAAACGGGCTTAAGTGCATTATTTAATATTATTTATTTAATATTATTTATTTACTAAGTGTACTTAAAGGTGTCATGTACCTTTAGAATGGAACATCCTTAGAATGGAATTTTTTCCACCCTTGTGTTGCTTCATTCCCTAGCTCATTCTCGTGACCGCTGGCTGGCTGCTGCCATGGGAATTCTTGTTAGAGCGTTGGCCGAGGCATTTCGAGCCTTCGAATTCGAGGCTTTACCGTGGGGTTGGACTCGATGGCTTCCAGCAGCCCCTTCCAAGCCGAACCGCTCCGTGATTCTGTGATTTATCTGTTCAGAATGGCACGGAGAAGAACCTCCCAGCCTCCCTGGCAGGACAGCGCTGCAGCGGAGAGAGCAGATCGAATCGAATCGGTACGATCAGTGTCTCGGGACCGGCCGGGCGGTGCCTGCGGGGCCGGGGGCGGGCGCCGGGGCCGCCCCCCACATCTGGGGATGCTGAAACTTTTTCACGTTTCCGCAGTGTCACGATTTCCGCTTCCCTCCTTCAGAAAAAAAAAAAAAAAAAAAAGGGGGAAAAAAAAGTCCCGGCCAAGCCCCCACCTCGAGCCCAGCCCAGCTGAGCCCCAGCCCAGCCCAGCCAGCCATGGAGGAGCCCGAGCCCGCGGGGGCCGCGCAGCCCGGGCTGCGCTCGCTGCTGCCGCCGCGGGAGTTCCTGGGCTCCCGCAAAGGGCAGCTGCTCCTCGCGGAGTCGGTAAGGCCGGGGGCGAGGGGATCGCGGGGAGAGACCCCTGAAAGCACCGGGTCCCGCCGACGGGGCGGCGCGGACGGAGCGGGGGCGGATGGACCGACCGTCCGCGGGGTCGAGCTGCGAGCGGGGGAAACAACCGAGGGGAGAGGGGGGGACACGAACCGAGGGGGAAACAACCGAGGAGAACGAGGGGAGAACAACCGAGGGGGAAGCGTGGGGAAAACAACCCAGGGGGGGAAGGGGGGACAAGAACCTCGAGGGAAACGAGCGCACTGCCTTACCGGGGTGGGGGAACTGCAGGGCTGAAAGCGTAATTGATTGAGTTAAAGAAACCAAAAGTCTTGTCACGTTAAGCTTCCAGTGCTTCAAGTCTGTTCCTTTATCAGGAACCCGTTTTCGGTGACAAAGGGCTTTGATTTCGTTTTAGCCTGTTTGCAGCGTGACTCCAGTGACCGCTGCAGCCCCATTTGTGTTATCTCCTGGCGCCAGGGGACACACGGGTTACCAGAGAGCCTGTTCGGAGTGTGTCAGGAAAGGCCCTACCCATGAATGTGTGACATGTGCCATTAGGTAGGGCATCAGGATACTCAACTTTTGTGCCGAGCCCTCCAGAGCTGTGTTTGTCCCTGGCTCACGGAGGGATGCGCTTGCTCACTGCTGTGGAGCCTGACGGCTGGAAAGTGCCCAGCGGGAAAGGCCCTGGGGGTGCTGGTGACAGGGCTGGACATGAGCCAGGTGTGCCCAGGGGGGCAAGAGGCCAATGGCCCCTGGGCTGTGCCAGCCATGGTGTGCCCACAGCCCCAGGGCAGTGCCCGTCCCTGTGCTGGCCCTGCTGTGGGACATCGAGGGCTGTGCCCAGTTCTGGGCCCTCAACAGGAGAGACATGGAGGGGCTGGAGCGTGTGCAGGGAAGGGACAGAGCTGGGAAGGGGCTGGAGCAGCAGGAGCAGCTGAGGGAGCTGGGGGGGCTCAGCCTGGAGAAAAGGAGGCTCAGGGGGGACCTTCTGGCTCTGCAACCCCCTGACAGGAGGGGGGAGCCGGGGGGTGTCGGGCTCTGCTCCCAGGGAACAAGGGACAGGAGGAGAGGGAACGGCCTCCAGCTGTGCCAGGGGAGGGTCAGGTTGGACATCAGGAGGAATTTCTTGCTGGAAAGGGTGGTGAGGCCTTGGAAGGGGCTGCCCAGGGAGGTTTGGAGTCCCCATCCCTGGAGGTGCCCAAGGAAGGCCTGGCCTCAGTGCTCTGGGCTAGGGACAAGGGGGGCATCGGGCACAGACTCCACAGTCTTGGAGGTCTTTTCCAGCCTTAATGATTCTGTGATCCTTACTGGGAAAGTGCCAAATAATGAGCAAATAATGATCATTAGAAACAAGCATGGCCTGGCAATGGAAACAGTGCTCCCCCAAAAATACACCAGGGTTTTCCTTTAGGTACAGGTTCTGAGGTCAGGGCTGGTGGTAATTATAGGCCTTTGGGTTTCAGTGTGACACTTTCTGGAATTTTATTTGTAAAGGCTTAAAGCCTGGCAGCTGAAACAGTACCCACATGATAGGGAAAGAGATCACTTAACCCAAGGGAAGTGGGTATTTCACAATAAAATTTAACTTTTGAGTAGAAAGCTAGTTGATTGAAATCAGACCTTCAACATAATTTTTGTCAGAAATAATGATAAATTTAAACACTAAGTTTTGTATGATCTTACCTAGAGCTTGGGCAGCCCAAAAGAGTAGTCAAGTCTGTGGAGTGCTGTTTACATGTGCAAGATGACTCTGGGTATTCACTGTGTGAGCTCAGGGAAGGAAACAAGGAAATTCAAGCAAGAGAAAGGGAAGGAAGAGGCAGAACTGTCCATGGCCAGCTAGGGGGGACCAGCACTAAGAGTGTGAGGCTGCGAGCACTGCCCTGTGGCAGAGAGCACAGGGAGATGTGAGGCTGGCTTTGAGAGGAAAAGGCTTTCATTCAGGAGGTGAGGATGGCTTCTGTGGTGGGGAAAGCTTGGGCTGAGCAGCAGCAGGCCATGAGCTGTATCAGCTCCACTAAAAAAATTCCAGGTACCCCATCACTCGTACAGCATAGTTTACAAAAACACACATTTAGAAGACACCAAAACCCAACTAACTTGGCTCTCTTGGCACGTATTTTTGTTACATACTATAACCTACACTGGAATTTCCTTTACAAGCTTACAGCCAGTTAATGATGCCTTTCAGACAGACTGGCTTTTAGCATCTCTGAATGATGACATATTTGAGGAATACTGTTTTGGTCATGGGATCAGACTCACCCTTTTGTTGTCATAGAGAAGTGCTGATTATGCCTCCTTGGAGTAATAAAAACTGCTCTGTCTTGCCAAAACAGGGATTTATCCTCTATAAGGCCACTCAGGGCTTCCCAAGGGTTTGGCTGGCTGAAAGCAGCTCTGAAAGCCCATCTGCTGAAATCTCTGTGTGCTGTTGCAGGCCAGCCCATGTGCTTAGGACGTGGTTTCCTGGCAGAGGGGAGGCAGCAGTAGTTTCTCTCCAGTTGTCTAAGCCTTGCCAGAAGAAACCCTTGAGGACAACACAGGCCCCAGAATAAATGCAGTCTGTATACAATTACAGAAGTGCAGTGCCAAATAATTGAAGACGAGTCCAATCTCTCACAGTTTAAATCTGTGTTTCATCTTTAGCTTTGTATTTCAGGTCTTGAATGTTTCATTTTCCCTCTTTGACACAGTGCTGATGCGGGATGGGGTTCTGCAAAGACCTTTGTAAATAATATTCATGGGATATATAGTGTCTTTTGTTCAGAAACAAAGTGGGGTCCTCATTACTGTTATCAAATGTCACATTATTATTCAGCAGCTGGGCAGTTCACCAGAAATGCACTTTATTTCTTGGCTTTCCAGCTGTGCAAGCAGCAGCTCTGCTGCGGGCGGATCGGTGGGAGCTGCTGCTCTGCTGCAGGAAACGCCAAGTCAGGTTTGCAGCCTTCAAAAACCACCAGAACCTGCACAGTGCGTTGCCACCAAAGCCCAGCAGTGACTCTGGGCAAACCCTGACTGAGCAGAGGGTTTCACTTCTCCTCTGTGGGCTGTGACAGCGATCACGAGTGGGCTCAGCGCACCCGCGGCCCCAGCACCACGCTGGGGGAGCCAGTGAAAAGCCTTGCTTTGACCAGCAGAAGGGGCTGGCAGGTGACCAGCTCAGCTGTCACTGGCTGCCCCAGACTCTGCAGACTGAGACAAGTGCCACATTCCCTTCCCTTGCAGTGCTGGAGGCTGCAGGGCCTGGCAGTCCGTGTCCCAGGGCAGCTGCACCGGCAGCTCCACACTGCCCGCCAGGACTGCTTTGTTCAGGTGGCAGGAAACTGCTACAGCCACTTTTTAAATAACATTCACACATTTCCACATGGAGGATGGATCTTTACCATGTTCAGGTGTAATTTTCACATTGGTCTGTAAACTGCTCTGTGGGCTATCAGGTCTGGGTATCTTGGTGTTTCCCCAGAACAAGTCAGGCTGGAGATGGAGCTGATTACTGCTAGAACTGTAACTATATTCTCAAATTTTATTCAGATAAGGAAGTTATCCTCCCCCCACACACACCTGCTTCTTTTTCTTTTGATCTCCACAGAATCTCACAACGGGTGGGGTTGGAAGGGACCTCTGGGGAACATCTAGTGCACCCCCTGTTAACCTAAGAAGCAGCAACATCAAGTACATGAATAAGCTTTGCTCTTTCCTGATCCTGTTTATTCTCACTGCCTTGCTCCATTTTCTAATCACCATTCTTCATCTCCCATGATAATTTTTTTCTTTCTATTCCCCCCATGCCATTATTTCTTCCATATATTTTAACACTCTTCTTGAGCTACTAATTTTTACCAAATACTCAAGCTGCTCTCTCGAAGGTCAGCATCTCATCCATGCTCTTTCTACCCTTCAGTGCAGTTTTCAGTTCCCTCTGTCTTGTGTTGGAACCATTTAACAGCCACTCTCATACCTGCCACCAGAGCTTGTCCAGGCAAGATCCCCATGTCTGCATTCAGCTGCTCACCCCTACTGCTTCAGTCTGGCTTTTGTGTTTGTCCTGGTGACTAAATTGGCATCTCCTTAGTCTCCTCAAGCCAGTATGCAGTGGCACTACACTTTATTTTTCTATAAAAATGCAGTATGAGTATGTAAAGTTGTGCCACCTTTGTGGTGACATAAAGGATGTAGAAATCATTGTGCCTGTTTCTCTCTTTTCCTGTCTTTCTTCTGTCTTTTCATTCTTCTCTGAACTGACCTTCCTAACTGAAACTTCCACTGCTTGGTGTAAAATCTCCTTTGAAGAAGACTCCTGCACCTTTTTCAGGGTCTGTAGGCAGGAGGCCACCCCTGCAGATAATTCTGGGGACCAGGAACTTCACCTGCACAAGTACAATGGAGAAATAATTGAATAGCAGAGCTCACCAAGTGATGTACTTTGTCCCTCTGCCAAAAAATAATAACAAAATGCACTCTTGTCCAAAAGATGTCACCACTAGCCACTTTGAGAACTTTGAGCAAAGCTGTTCTTTTCTGTGGAGGGGAGATGAGGAGCAGCCTGCAGTGGTTCAGCTGCATCCCAATATCTGCCTGTACCCATGGGAGGCACTGGGGCTGTTCCCTTCACAGAGGAGACAAACACCTTCTGAGCTGCCATGACCTCAGACTCCAGCAGTCCCCCCTCCCTTAAGGGACACTCTGCTCTCTAACCAGTGTAACTCATATTTTAGACCTTAAATTGCAAGCTGATTATACAATGAAGTATAACTTTGTAATGCCTGGCCAGTTTAAGAAGCTCAGCAACACAATATTAAGTAATAATTACATGGGACAAAATTACTTTCTGAAACACAATGCCAAAGAAGTTCCTTTAAAAAAGCACTATGTAATATTTCTCTTTTTTATTTTGTGGGAATGGGAATGTACATAAAAAGTACTCAATGAAAAGTCAGGCTTCTTTTAGCCAGGATCTTTTTTTACTTGTACCATTGCCAAGCTATGAAAGGATCCTGTCCTGCTCTTTGCTGCATTAGAGCTTTCTGCATCCAGATATTCCTCCATAGTAAAGCTGGCAACAGTCACACCAACCTCTCAGCAGCAGCACGGGAACAACTCAGACTCTGAGCTGCTGTCAGTGCCGAGGATGTAACCCCAGTGGGGGGAAGAAAAACACCCTGTGTAAACACAAATGGATAGAACTTATAAAACACTATTAACTTTTAGTTTCTCCCAGAAGCTGCAGTGCTTTCTGAAAGTGCTAGAAATGAACTTGCAACTGCATTGAGCCTCTCACAAACTTCCTCTCTTAGCTGCCTGCTTTTTAGCATAGACACAGAGTATTAGAAAAACAACAAGGTCCCTTTGCTTGACCTTTCTCTGAAATCACCCTTAAACACACAGCTGCAGGAAAAGAGGTGCAGAACAAGTGTGATGTGCAGTGGAACATTTTACAGTCTTCAGAGGGGTCAGGTTGTATTCTGAAGGTTGCTTTTGAGTTTTAAAGCAACTTTGACAGATGTTTGTCTCAAAGACTTGAAGTCTGGAAAAGTAAGTAGGTAGGTGTCATTACTTCTGGATACACACTGGCACTTCAGTGTGTGTATTGTGGGAGGAGAGGTATATTTTTTAAATTTCCAACTTTTAAGGTAACGTCAAATGCTTGAATTAGTGGCAGTGCAATTAAATGGTCACACAAGGTAACAAGATAAGTACTCAGTTTTATAATTCAGAACAGACAGTAGTAGATGATAGCCAGTATTGCTCCAGGAGTCCATGCACTCCACATGTCAGAAGGGCAAATGAGCTCTACACAAAAAGAAATGAGAAACCATCAAAACCCTACAATTTGTGGGCTCTTGCATTACATAGGGCTGTCCCCAAGCTACTGAGTAGGTTTGGCACTGAAATCCATGTCAGGGCTGCAAAGAGAGACAAGAAAGAACCATCCCTGTAGCTATCACCTGGCAGAGCCCTTGGGCACCTCCTTCCCTTTGTTTCTCTTGCTCTTTCTTTGCCTCTCTCCCCTTCCTGCACCTTCTACACTTCCCCCAAGGAAGGCTGTAGCATCTAAAAACACCACCCTTCAAACCTTCATCCTCAAAATCTGGTCCACTATCTTATAGATGGGTTTTTCACATAAAATCCTCCTTGGGCCTCCTCAGTCCCTGAGTGCCCCCAAAATGAGGATTGACGCTTAACTGGAGAGCAGTTATGACTTCAGGTCAGAGTCTTTCCCCTTTACTAATAGAATCAATAATCTGTTGCAATCAAGGGACTTCTTGTGAATCCAGGGTGCCTTTTTTTACTGTGCCTTGACGTGCACCTCCCCTGCACAACGGGACAGGCTGGACATCCCCCTCTCTGGGGATGGTGGGAATACAGAAACTGTCCTTCAGGGCTGAGGAACAGGCAGCAGGACACTGCTGTGACCTACCAGTGATGGAGGGGTTTGTTTGAACAAGTAACTGCCTGGTAACCAGATTTTAAAATGAACAATATTTCCCCAGCTTCTCTGGATCAGACCAAATCAGAAAGTTGAAATGACTGATCTTTCTGTGTCTTCAGCAGCTTACCTGGCACAGAGGGAGGAATCCCACTGGCACACAGCACACTGGAGCAGGAGCTCCTTGGCTTTTTCTTGCCACAAAAGAAGCTTCTGTTTGCACCCTGAGCTGTGTTACAGCAGGACTTGGGCTCCTGTTCCAACCCACGTCCGGGTGAGGGGGAGACAGTGGGAACCTTGACTTGCACAAATTCCCATAAAGTTGATGATAAAAGAGCTCAAAGGCTCTGCCTTTCACCTCCCCACTTTCTGACAGGAAAACTCTTTTCTCTGTACAAAGGCAGGCAGAGCACAGGACTTACTGTATCAAACAGAATCGAGATCAAAGGGATCTCAGCTGTGCACCATCAACTTACATATCTCAGATTTGCCTCTCTGCCTCCCCTTGCTGCTGCAGTGTGATGGATTATTTAACACTGCATTTAATCCTTTCATAAGAGATTACCAGGTTTAGTTCAGGTCTAACGTTCTGCCATTGAAAGGACTTTGGTAGGTGGGACCTATCCTGAACATCTCCTCCCTGCTGCTGTTCCTCCCCATCACACACTTCCCTTCAGCCACAAAAGGCAGATATTTTTTCAACACCAGAACAAGAAGAAATGTCCTGTACACATGGTGATTTCTTTTTAATCCAAGAACACATTAAACCATGCCTAAATTATGTTCCACAAATGCAGGTGAAGCAGATTCACAAAGTCCAGTCTTTGTTCTTGGGGAAGCAGGGGGAAGAGAGCAGGTGTGATAGGAAGGAGGAAGAAATCCTCTCTCCTCTTAGTAGTTTTCAAGCTCTGTTATATCCACTTCTCTTCAAAGACCACTCACCACTCTCCACTCACTGACAGAAAATACCAACTGAGGATGAGATACAGTGAATGAGTTCCCTCTGCTGTAGGAAAACTAGAAAAAGCCGCCAAGAGGCTGTGTAAGCAATAATCAAAAAATAATAGGATAAACAGCAACAAATAGGGAAAATATGAAGAGGTAAGAGGCCTATACTGCACCAGATCAGCTTCTTAGTGAAACAAGAACAATGCATAGGCGGTTTAAGATAAATATAGTCTCTTACTAAAAATGGCACATCCTCTCTAACTTCACCACCCACTCCTAATGGATCAAAACAATATTCTCCAGCTCTCAGCAGCCTGGTGAAGAACTGACTGCTTTCCCCAAAAAACAGGCTTAGAATAAAGGCTTCTTAATTAATTACATAAAAAAATTATTTCATGGGATTGAACTGCTTAGTTGCCCCCTACACTTAAACAGGCTCTTTTGGTGCATGTATTTGAGTGTTGGCTGACCTCTCCTAGGCATAATTATTAATTAATAATTATTTATAGGAGCCTTATCAGTCAAGTATAATAATGATTTTTTTCTGAGGTCCAGGTGAACACAAGCAAAGAAATCCATTGAGCTGAAATTTATCGAGGCAAATACATTGCTTGGCTTTGCAGGAAGCCACACCTGCCTTCAGATATGCCATCTGGGAGAAAATAATACATTTATTTTCAGTCTTGTATAAGTGGGAAGGTCAGTGTCACAATTTAGAATTTAGAAGTTCAAAACATCCTTGTGATGGGATGCTCAGGCAGTACCCAAAGCATCTCTGAGCACTGGGAAGGCAGGGATTTATCTCCACGAGGGAAGAGCAGCCCAGGTGCAAACTGGCACATAATACACAAACTGTGTAATTCAGTATCCTGGTTTTGTTACTTTAAGCTGATTTGATGACAACAGCAACCAGTTTCCCTGCAAGGCAGTAAAACAGCAGGGCTGGAGCCTCTTCCTGCAGGTGACCAACTCCCAGTACATCATCTGAGATGTTCAAGTTTCTCCCTGGTTCCCTCCCCTCCCACCTTCACCAACAGCAGCTCAAAGTCCAGAAGTGTGGGACAGCATTGGTACTACCTGGTTTAGGTAAAAAATCATTTTCTTTAGCCATTTTCCCATTGTGACACTTTCTGTCTTGAACCATAAATTGTATTCCAAAGGTATTTTAATTGAATGGGAAAAGAAATGCCATTTTTATTATTTTGTAGAGTTAGGAAACACCATGGAGATAAATTTATGGGAGTTATCTATCCTAATACTACCTAAAACAGCTTTCTACACTGGAAAACTAGAACCAGAGACTTCCAGACACCACAGAACAATTAATTCTTGGCTCTTTTCTATCCATCATCAGCAGACTTTTTTCTTTCCGCTCTAAGGAGATTATAAATGCTGAGTTACTTTGGGCTGTCTGAGCAATGATTTGGGTTTGAAATGAGACCTGTCATAGCTGAAAGCTTAAAGCTCTGCTTGCTTGGCAGAGCCCCACTCTCTTTTCAGAATTATGTTGTCAGAACTGTTTACAATCCAGAGCAAATCACTGACTCAGAGAGGTGCAGATCCACCCAGCGCTCCGGAAAACCGATTTCACACGCCTGGAAATAAACACCATTACTTGAGATTTATTCCATGCTGAACAAGAAAATTCATTTGGCCCAATATAAAAAAAACCCAAACCAGTAAGAAGCAAAGCAATGCCTTCAACAGCAGCACTGACAGAAACACACAGGGAAAACAACCCTTCTGAGCTGCTCAGCCACCCACAGCTCTGCTATTCCAGGCCAATAACGACGAGTTTTCCCTCTACTCCAGGTGCTGTCATTTATCATCTTTATCTGCTATATTGCATCTCTAGCAGCTTCTTTCATGATGGCACCACTCCTAGAGTTTCTGCTGGCCCTGTTTCTTTTTTATGCCTACGCCTCCAAGCTTAATGAGAAGTTTAAAGGACTCTACTGGCCTTTGACGGTAAGTGGAATGTGCAGCACAAACCCCCCGACTGAACTGGGCAGGGTTGCAGGAGGAGAAGGGACTGCACAGGAGTTTAGGGTCACTGTTAACAAGTTCACCCCCGTATTAGAAACTTGTCTGTGTTGGCTCTCGTACAGCAGGTCCCCCAGCACTCTTTGAACCGTGCTGTACTGTACACTATAGCTTGTTCTGGTGCTGACACAAAGCTTGGCTTTATCAAAGCACAGAATTTATGCCTGATTCCAGGCACGTGGCTTAGGGCTGGATCTTCAGAGGCAGCATCAGCCTAAGTCAGCCTGACCACTGCTGGGGGCTCCTCACCATTGCACCCTGACCAGCAGGGACACAGCCGTGCTGTTAGTGAGGGACAGACATAACTGGGATGGTTTTAAATTCTCAGCAAGTGCTGCAGAGGGGCAGAGTCATACCACAAACACAGCTGCTTCTGGAAAGGGGGAGCCCTGCAGCTCCTGCCCAGTCCTGCCCACACAGGAGCCCAGTGCTGGGGCTGCAGGCGATCCTGGCCACTGGATGTCCCTGCTGCCTCACACACTGCACAGGGAGCAGCTGTCTAGCAGTACAAATACTGCCAAAAACCCTGCTAATCTAATCAATCTGGAGTCTCTCTTGGTACCAGCAATAGTTCATCACAGTGAGATCTGAACTAGAGCTCTCAGTGCATAAAAACGAGGTGAGCGAGGCCCTGGTGGGTAAAGTGGCATCAGTGGCTTTGACACTGCACAGTTTTCACTTGGTAATCTCAGTTCCATCATTTTCTCATTTTCTACACCCATCTGATTCCAGAACTAAGACAAAAAAGACACTTGTGTGTTTATTGTGGCCATTACCTTAATATACTGCAGCCACAGAATGTAGATAATTGACCCTGTCCTGACTTCAGAAGAGTCAAGTTGCTTGCAGGATTTGTGTTCTGAGACATCATCCATCTGTTCTGAAAGGGCAGAAGAGCTAATTGTGAACAGAGCTCAAGTGCAGCTCCCACGATTTGCACATCCCTGGGAATCACAGCTCTATTTAACACCCACTTCAGAGACATTCCTGCTGGTGTCCCAGGGCATGGCCCTGCCCTGCAGAGCCACAGCAGCACCTATCCCAGTGATCACAACAGGCACTTGGGCAGGCTGCTGGAGTCACAACAACGTGCTGAGCATAAACCATTTCAATAAACAAAGTGGTTAATTCCTGACTGAGGAGTTCCTACAGACAGAGATCATCATATAGCCCTATATCCATGTAGGGACAAGCACCCACCCGTTCCCACAGGAGCTGTAGCCTCCTCCTGAGCCCCTGGTACCACAGGAGTTCTGCTTAAAGGTGAGACTTTCAGGCATTTCAGATGGTTCTTTCCTTGCTGTGCTCCAGGCAAACGCCACAGGACAGCCCTTCCCAGCCCCAGGGGTCTGCCCCACACAAGTTAAAAGCAGGAGTCACACAGCAGCCCCAAGAGCAGAAGCTCATGCCAAGACTCCAATCATCCCTTCTTTAGAACATTCCCCAGAGGAGCAGTTCCTGCAGCACAGGGCTGTGCTCACACAGCAGCCCCAGGGTGGTCACTGCTGCAGGAGCAGAGGGTTTGAGGGGTCATTTCCCAAAGCATTTGCTGAGGGGTTTGCGTGCTGGAGCTCCATGGCTAATCTGGGAATGCACCACTGCTTCTTTCACAGGATTTCTTGCGCTGTGTCACTGCTGCCATTATTTACTTTGCCATTTCCATTGCTGCTGTCTCCAAGTACAATGATGGAGCATCTAAAGCAGCAGGGGTGAGTAGACATGAGCTTTCCACTCAAGTATTTTGGTGAACTGCCTGTAGATATAGTTCAGAAACAGTTCAATTTTGACCCCATTGCAAGTAACAGAAGCTTCTGCAATTAACTGAGAATTCCTTTGCCCAAAGCAAAGAGGAAATGGTCAGTTATTCAGAAAAATATGTTTTGAATCAATAGTTTTTTCATTGTGACAGTGCTGCTCAGTGTTAACTGTGCTCCTTAGGGAAGGCACCTGTTCTGCTTTTTAATTTCCCCAAATGCACAGGGAAGAGAAACTGTTCCTGCAAAAAGTATCAAGATCCTTGAATGGAGGGAGTAATACTAATGATTTAAAAAAGGAATCAAACCTGTAACTGCTGGCCAGTCTAAATTAAGTCATTTCAACCTCCTGCCTCTACCTCTCAATTTTACTTGGGACGAGTTGAAACAAGAGCAGTGTCATTTTACCCTCCAGTACAAGGGCTGCCCAGGAGAGAGCCTTTGCCATCAGCATTTTGTGTTCAGAAATACAATCCAGCCTCTGCATCTGCAACCTGACTCTAGGCATCAATAATGGATGCAACATAAATAAAATCTGCATCATAATTTTTAAAGATAGGGAAGAACAATACCCTGTAGTGCTGACCAGGAGCCCTTACCAAACCATCCCCAGTCACACACAGCTCCAACACAGACCTTGTTTTAATCTTTGTCCCTCAATTTAGAGGTGGAGGAGTACAAGTGCATTTACCCCAGAGTGAAACCCAGCCTGTTCTTGGCACTGCTGCTGCTCTGGCTCTGAAGGGGGAACTCCAGAATCATTTTAATCTCAGTCTAGTTCACTCAGCAATAGATAGGTCTCCTTGCAAACCAGTAAGAAATTATTTCCAGAGAAATCAAGGTGATTTCTTGGTGGCACAGAGATGCCCTGGGATGGTGGAGGTGCAGGTTTTGTTCTCCTGCAACTCCCAGCAGAGCTGATGCTCAGAACATGCCCGAGGGACCCGGGGAAGGGCTAAGGACACATCTGATGACTTCTCAGGCTCCCAAATTAGCTGTAATTTAGCTGAGGCCAATGGGTCACAAGCCATTTCCCTTCCCTGTCTTCATGGAAAGGCACAGGCCAAACCCACCAAGCTCAAGCTTTGAGTTTTTCTTGTGTTGGCTCAGCTCATTTTGCTTTGTCATTGATGGACGTGGCCTGTTGTTAAACAGAGTGTTCTTTTGCCCTTGTAGGTGTTTGGGTTTGTGGCCACCATCGTGTTTGCCATTGATTTCTACATCACCTTCAATGACCTGGTCAGCTTCCTGAAGCAGGGCAGCTCTGATCCCCCCGAGGGGCACAAGTCAGAAGGTGGGTAAAATTCCCTGGTTTGTCACACGAGCAGGTAATGTGAGATTTTCTTCTCCATTTCACAAAGGTCATTGAGCACTTAGTTTCTATTCCTGGCTGCCTTGGTTTTCTATGCCACAACTGTGCTCAGTTATGAAGCTGCTCAGCCCTTGAATACAACAACTGGAACTTCAGGGACTTACAAAGATAAGGAGCAAGCCAGGAATGTGAAGTTTCTCAGAGTTTCACGACATCTAAATTTGAAAGGCCCTAAATCCAGTTATAGAAATTATCAGCAGCACAGACTTTCTTCCCCCGTCAAAATGTCTTACTGTAAAAACAAGCAAACCTGCCTTTTTTCCTTGGTAACTTAATAATTAACATCCATTTGTCCACAGTCTTTTATGTCCAATAGTGCTCTTCTCTTTATCATCTCCTTATCATGATTGCCTGTTATGACCAGCTTTGACCATCTGTGGGCAAATGGCCTTGAAATCCCAGGGCCAAACAGCATAAAATCAACAAGATTATTATGAATTTGTTTTCTCTGTCTACTTCAGACAGATCCACTTAGACAAAGATAAAAAGAGGGACCCACTGTTGGGTGTTTAAATCCAATTCAGGTCAAGTCAGGCCAGAGGTAGCAGTTTTACAGTACCCAGCAGCCCAAATTGGGCATCGTGTCCCTGTGACACTGCTCATTCCACTGCCACAGAGGAAAAAGACTGTTCCATGCTTTAAAAAAAAAAAAGAAAATAAATCCCCAAACCCAAAACAACAACCCACACAAAACCAAAACCCACAAACCTCCTCAAAAACAAACAGCTGAGATGTGCATAGAATCCTAGAAGGTGTACAGTTGCACTAACAGCCTTTTCTAGGGATTTTAGTAGACTGTTAAATGTTTTGCAAGCTTTAGGCCAAAAAGAGAGACCAAAAAAGAAGAATTAAGTGGAACAGATCACAGGAATTAGACTGTTAAGACTAAAAACTGAACTGACCTCAGAAGATGATCAAGTGACAAGGGCACAAAATTAGGGTACAGATTAGATCTAATTTCCCTGGAGATGGAGGCAGAAATACATAAACCCACATAAACCCACAGCTGTGCAGCCAGGCAGCTTTGGGGGGATGGCGTGACTGTGCAAGGAGGGCTCTGCCCTGACTGTTCCCCCAGCACCAAGCTGGGGCTGAGGCCAGCAGGATGTATCTCTGTTGGGATCCCCACCATGGCAGAGCTGCTGCTCTGAGGCTTTGCTGGCAGAGCAGGACCCACCCAGGGCTCTGGAGGCAGGAGGGGCAGCACAGGCTCTCTGTGTCACACCCCCTCCTCTGAGCCAGCTCCTGCACGGGGGCTCCAGTGCCCCTCAGCAGCATCTCCCAGCTCCTCTGAAGCACCCTCAGTGTTCCATCCTGTCAGCAGGAATGTCACAGGAGTGTCACTCCCCCAGCCCTTCCTCTGGAGCAGCTCCTGCCAGGAGCAGCAGCATCTCTCCCAGCCAGAGCTGCAGCAGGTGGGGGGTTCCAGCTCTCATCTCACTCTCATTCCTTGTTTTACCCCTCAGATGAGAACTCTGACTCTGACTCAGACTGAAGAACCAAACACCAACCAAGCATGAAGGGAAGATGATCAAGCACTTTCCTCTGCTGAATGCACTGCCAAGTGAAATATCTCCCTTATTGCAGCCTCCGGATCCTCTTTCCACCTCACTGTTCGTGGAGTCACCAAGGCATGGACAGGGCAGTGATGTGGAAAAGGAGACTATTCCCAAAGCCATTAGAGACTCTGTCAAAACTAGAGATTCTGCAGTAGCTCAGCCTTCCACAGAGGAGTGTGTCCAAACACAGCTCAGTTCTCCTTTGCCCCTCCTTCCTCAGCCCTACAATGTCCTGAGTAAATGGGAGCAGCATTTTAAACATAATCAGAGCTTTTAACCCGCTTTCTTACTTCCAAATCCTTAACACTTACAGCTTTTGTCCTTCTTGAGGTGCCAAAGAAGAGAGGTTTGAATGCCTCTATTTGTATTTTTCTTTTTAACTAACAGTATTTCTTTCTCTCAAGTCTGAGTATTCCACTCAGAAGCACTGAAGGCCTGGATTACAGTTAACTCAGTACATTTATATCTGCTGCCTATCTGTGACCAGAAGTGACAACTGGAAATCTGCAGCAAGAGCCAACCTCAGAGTCTGACTGCTGCAGGCAGCTGGCTCATCAAACATTCACAATCACTCTTTTTAAGCTGCTGGGATGGAGTCACATCCCATCTGCTGCCATTTCACCAGCGAGACGAGGCAGGACAGGGGAGCCAGGCTCTTCCCAGCCCCTTTCCTGCTGGCTGTGTTTGCCCAGCCAGGGAAGGCAGCCTTGCCAACCCAGCAGGATCTGCCCAGAGGAGCCTGCAGGTGTCTGTGCACAGGACACCACAGGACACCACTGCCTGCTCTGCCCTGTGCTGGGGGCACTGCTGCTCCCCCAACACCAGCACTGCACTTGGGCCATGGCTTTGCAAAACAGGGAACTGGTTCTGCCACACTTGGGAAACCTGAGCCCCAGGAGGGCAGGGCATCCCCCCTCTGTGAGAAGGCAAAGAAACCAAGCCCCAAACTACAGAAGGTCTGCAATGAGTTCATTTTCCCAGACCCCTTTCCTCAGTGGGAAGGGGGGGGGAGGGGGGGGGGTTGGGCTTTTTCCCCTGGAAGGCCAGGATTTATGGTGGTGCTGTAATCCAGGGAAAAAGCCTTCTGAATTTACAAGGTATTTTCACAAGTAGCACAGCCTACCTTGAAATGTTTGTATCCACCTACAGACACATGGTGCTTGGGAAGAGCATGGCATCTCCTTACAGATGGCAGCAGACAGCTCTGTGCCAAAGAAATCTGTATATATTTTTAAAAAATTAATATAGTACCAGAACAGGTGGCCTTTACAAAAACTAAAATGAGAGCAGATGGTACTAACAGAGTAAATGAAAAACAGGGATAAAACAATGACGGCAGATTTCCTCTGGAATAAAATCACCACTTGGATTCCAGTTCCCTGGCAGCAGCTGGCTGCTGCCAGCAGCACACGGGACCTCACAGGGAGCAGGGGCTTGGGAAGGTGCTGGTCAAATTGGAGTTGTCCTCAGGCAGCTCCTCCATCTCCTGTTTCCTGACCACTGAGAATAAAAGCATAACAAGTGGTTAATTCTAAATGTGACAAATCACCTCTACTTTTATAAGAAAGACCTCTCTGGACCTTTTCCTGTATGAAATCCTGTGTTTCTTTCTCTTGTTGTCATATTTTACTGGCACACACTGTGACATCAGGGGACCTGGGCTTGTTTTTATACTCATTTTGTATTTCTCTTATTTTTAATTAAAACAAAATGTACTGCATGTCACATCTGGAAACTAGTACATGGTTAATATTTAGAAACCACCCTGGATTAAACCTCTTTTCATAGAAATGTTGAGTGTCTTTACTTATTTTAAGACCCGATTTTACTGCCTTGCCTCTGCCCAGCAGAGGGATCAGTGATTTAAGGAACTCCATCACCGTGTGCTGGGGAGGTGGCAGAGCACAGGGGGACCAACCCCGGCTGCTCCCACAGCTCCTGAGGAAAACATCATCTTCGGGGCATAACCATGAAAGACTTGAACCAAGAATTAGTTTCCACATATTGAGACCTTGGGGATACAGAGCTCTCACCTGGCAACTAATAACACTGTAAAAACAGTCCCCTTGGGTTCACCCTTCACACTCACTATAACCCAAAATATACTGAGGTTTTCTGGTCATTTTTTCACCTTGGATCACTCCTAAAGTCAACAGAGGCAGCAAACAAAGTGGCTCATTCCTTGCTTCAGGGTTGCTCTACCAGTGAAATGCCTGCCCAGAGAACTCGTTATTGGCTTTTAAGTACTTGATGATTTCATTCATTTCTAAGCAGTTTGCTCCCAGGGTCAAGCACTTGTGTAGATTCCAGCCTTTTATTTAAAAAGATCTGTTCCCATGACTGAAGTAAAACACAGTTCTGTGTTTTCCAAATATCGTTTCATAAAATTAAATTAAAAATAATTACTTTAAAGGTAATTTTGATGGGGGGAGGTGGGGACTGAGTCAGTCTATTGCCCATTTTCTGCCAGCAATATTGCACCAAGATCAGAGTCTGTGCAGCGCAGAGGACAAATCACCTTGGCTTTTTTGGCTTTTATGTTTGTTTGCTTGTTTTCCTCAACTGACAAGGTCCAAACAGCTCCGGGAGCACTGATTTCTTTGCAGTTCGGGTGTCCTGAGACAAACACAAGCTGCACCTGCGGTGTGCAGCCCTTCCTTAAACCCTCCCTGCAGTGTGCCAGCAGTGGCCTCATCAAACATCTCTTTTCAGAGTTCCACGTGGGAGCCGCTTCCCAAACCCACACAGCCCAATCCCTGCCTTCCTTACAGCTGCCCCTTGGAATTCCTGCCCAGCTCTCAGCAGTGCACAGAGCTTCCAACACCAACTGTGGAAAAATGGGGGGAGAATCAGTGCCAGACGTTTTATGGTCTGAACACTGAGACAAAGCCACTCACGGGGGAAAACGCCCGGCTGGCCCCCCAGAGGAGTGGTTCATACAGTCACACTGGCTGAAGGGCTCTCACCCTCCTTCTCCTCTCAAAAACCTTTTATATTTATCTGTGGACTTGTTCAGTCTTGTGTGGTGGTTTTTGGACAGGTGACATTAAGGAATTCAAGACCTTTCCAAGCAGCTTTTTTAAATTCTGCCTGAACTAAGAGGTTCTGTTGTGCTTTGAGCACTCTGTCCATCACCTCACTTTGTTCTGCTTTTCACTTGATCCTGTCCAAAGTTCTCCAAGTCTTCCATTTCCCAGGGACACAGCCATTCCCAGGACACCCAGTGAAAAGCAGTGTTTGAGAGAAACACTCCCACAGCCTGGTGTGCTGGTGAGCAGAACACAATTTAATGCTCTGCAGAGCAAGCAGATGGTTCCAGTCATTCTGCTTCTAAGTGTTCTCTGTGCCCAATTGTGAGCCTGAATTTTCCAGCTGCATCTCACCCCGCTCAGGGAGCACAGCCTGTGCCACCCAGTGACCATGGACTGGTGACCACAGACCAACAGCGTGTTCCTGCACCTCCAAAACACCACTGAGCAAACACCCACACTGCTGCTGAGCTGAGCCCAGAGCAGGCAGCCTGCAGGTCAAAAATAATACAGTCAGGCTTCCTTCCACATCGGGACCGGGATACAAACTGCCCTGCAGGAGCAAATGCAAGATCTGTATCAGCAAAGTGCACAGCAGCTCCATCTGGCCGTGCTTTGTTCTCCTCAGAGGGAGACTGGATCATGGAAGCAGAAGACATTTAGGTAAGCACTGAGAAGGTGAATCTTGTAACAAGATGCTCAAGATACCTTTTTGCAGAGAATATTGGTTTCAAAGTCAGGATCTTTAAAAGTCACCGCTCATATAAAGAGGACTGCATCAAAAAATCCTCACAGCAACAGAGATTCCTCCTCACTGGAAGAATTCATAGGACTCAGTGTTTTGTAAAACTTCTGGGTCGGATGGTAAAACAATGCTACCCAGAATATTTAAAATTTATGTGTGGTTTTGTTTGGGGTTTTAGTTTGTTTTTTTTTTAAATAAGTCAATTTTTAAATCTATTTCCTTGAAGAGGAAAATACCAATTCCAGCATAAATTCTGTCCAGGAAACACCTGTGCTTTTATTTTATATATTTTGGACATTTTATATATTCTGTCCATCATGCTGTTTTAGCCTGATCCATGAATAAGAAATCCATTAGTCTTCCCAGGAGACTGAAGTATTCAAAAGTTAGAGAGAATAAACTTTTTAAAATCTGACAACTGGCAGAGCTGCTCTGGACCAGGGACCCCCAGGGTGATGCCTGTTCTTTTCCGCACTTCCACCTGAAGTTTCGTAATTTCTAAGTTATATTGTTACATATATCTCTAAGTAATATTGTTACACTGAGATACTCTCCCCACAGTGGAACCTGCTATTTCAACTAATCCTTCAGAGCTGTTTGCAATTACAGATCTGTCAGTACAGGACCTATCCCTCACCAGTGTTTTGATTGCATCATCCATATTCCCAAATCCTCTCATGATACTCAACCACCTGTGTGTTTCCACCCTCACCTCCAAAGCCCATGGAGACCAAAAATTCCATCAGCATCAAGGCAGAACTTGAAACCCAGAGCCCACGAGGTGTCAGATATTCCCCACTCACTGGGGCATTTCAGCCCCCAAAAATTCCTCTCCAGTCCCAAACATGCTGCAAAGCACAAGACAGAGCATTCCAGCCCATTGCAATGTCCAGAAATGCTCCCAGAGCAACCCCACCACAACCACTTGAGCAGCAAAGGAGTCCCTGTGCTTTCTCTTACATCTGACATCTCATCAAGGGCTCTCATCCATGTTTTTTCCTGACCTCCTGCATCCATGAGGTTTTCATGCCCCAGTCCCAACCCCCTCAGCTGGGGTAGCTGTGCTGGAGGTTTAACCCCTGTGCTGGAGGTTTAACCCCTGTGCTGGAGGTTTAACCCCTGTGCCACTCTCCTGGAAGGAAAGTGCATTCAGCAGCTGCCCGGAGTGCATTAACAGCCCATCAACCACAACACTGGCTGCACTGTGGTGCCTTTTGGGGTGGTTTAACCCCAGCAGCCCCCAAGCCTCACAGCCATTCTCTCACTCAGTGGGATCAGGAGAGAATTGCAAGGCTGAAAAGCCGGAAAAGTTGTGGCTTGGGATAAAGACAATTTAATGTGGAGCAAAAGCTGTGTGCACAAGCAAAGCAAAACAAGGAATTCATTCCCTGCTTTCCATGGTTGGAGAGGTGTTCAGCACCTCCAAGAAAGCAGGGCCCCATCCCATGGAACAGTGACTTGGGAAGACAAACTCCATCACTCCAAACTTCCTCCCTTCCTCCTCCTTCCCCCACTTCCCACACTGAGCACGATGTCCCATGGTTTGGAATATCCCTGTGGTCAGCTGGGGCCCCCTGTCCTGGCTGTGTCCCCTCCCAAGCTCCCACACACCCCAGCCCCTCCCCAGCAGGGCCCTACACGGGGCAGGAAAGGCCTTGGCTCTGCTCAGGAATAACAAGAACACCTCTATATCATCAACACAAACCCAAACACAGCCCCACACCAGCCACTGGGAAGAAAAGAACCTCCAGCCCAGCCCAGCCCAGCACACCTTTACAGATGCACACAATGCTTTAGTACTTTAATATGTCCATTTATTAAACAGGAAGTCCTTCACAAATGATTCCATACTATATTGATTGGGCTAAGTGTTAGAAAACTACCATTTTCCCTACATACAAAAATACAGACTTTTACCACTATGAAGAATGACCAGAAGAGTACCGTGAAAACCCAAATCTTCCAAGACCAGAAAGAAAAGACAGAAAGACAACTAAAAAAAAAAATTTACAAAAAGTATTGTGCCCATATACAAAAGACTGGGAAACCAAAATGACATTTAAAACTGATAAATACACCATTTAAATTATGCTATAACAGAATGGATTTTAAAAACAGGACTGCTTTCTGTATTGCAAGACATTACAATTCTCCAGCTCGTGTTTTTCATTAGCAGACACCAACAGAAAGAAACACCAACAGACTGAAAAATTGTTACTGGCGTAGGAACAAGGTGGAGGTTCTGTTTTCCTGTATTGAGATTGGTCAAGCATCGAGAGAACAACTTTCACACACAGAGCTGGAAGATGCTGCACTTCCACTGGGCACAGAGGGCACAGCTGGAGGCACCACTGTGGCAAACAGCTGCTTCACCAGCTGGCCAAGTGGTCCTGGAGAACCTCCAGAACTCACCAAAACAGTGGGAAATCCCCCAGGGCT